TATTTTTTAAATTAAATATAAAAAAAAATTAAAATATAATAATTATATATAATATATATATATAAATATATATAAATAAAATATATAATATATAAACTTTTCTTTTTACACATCTTATCAAAGCAGTAAATAATTTTATCATATTACCTTAGCAACCTTAAGGCCTAACTATGGAAAATATCGTCCCTTAAAGGAGGTTCTGGTTTTGTCAGCGAAGACTAAAACAGAAAAACCAGGAAAATCAGGAAAATGTATCTAAATGTATCTAGACAAAAAAAATAATCAGTAAGTTACGATAAGAAATCTTTGTTTATGTTAATATTTTGATTGAAGACTCAAGAAAAAAAAATACATCTATCAAGTGACTAAGACACACACACACACACACACACACACACACACACACACACACACACACACACACACACACACACACACACACACACAAACACACACACACACACACACACACACACACATTCCTAACATGTCTAACAAAACAACAATAGGAAAAGTCTCTTCGCATTACTTGTCTCATATAAAAAGAAAAATATATCAGTGACACTCTCTCGAAGTGAAAATAATATTAAAGCTTTACTGATATCACACAATAAAGTTGATTTCCTGTTGTTGCTATGGTTCCCTCCCGCTCTTTTACTCTAAACGGAGTTTATCATTTTAATAAATTAATTCGTATCACACTTTCTCGCTTTTCTCTAGAATTATTAAAAGTCCCCCAAACATTTCTCGAACTTGGTTATAAGTTCTTATAATTTAAATTAATGCTTAAACCATTTGCAAAGGGGCGAAATGAGATCAAAATTCTGTAAGGTTGATAATCGTATATTGCACTGCTGCGGCACAGCTTACACGAAGGAACATTAAAAAAAATGATATATTGAAAATAAATTTTTATTGTTGTAAATTCAGAAATATCACCAAAAAAATGCAAAAGCTGATGTAAATCATGAAACAAAAAAAAAGTTAATTTTAAAAGCTTCAAGCTCTCGTAGACCTCTAGGGCTGTTGCATTTTCTCTTTCAAACTGTTGTTTTGCTTAGTTTATTAAAAAGAAATTTGTCAAACCCCCTTATGTACCCAAAGGGGGGGGGGGTCGGGCCAATTCGGGGGGTTGAGCTAAATTTTTGTGCGGGGAAGAACACCACACAGTGCTGCCGTTACCTGCTACACACCAGATTCGGTGAACGTTGGTTGTTGACAGGATCAAGTCGGGGAATTCTCCGATGTGAAGAACCCGATAAATGCTTTCTGCCAAAACTCAGAAAAGTCATAATTGGCATATTTCTTGAAGCGCAATACCATCCTTAAAGCCAAGACTTTTTTACCCCCTTTGACCTTGACTCCCAAAAGTCCCCTTTTGGGTTATCCGCGATGTCCATGATGACCAGAGTCCTGGGCCCCCCCCCTGGAAACTGCCCCCCACCAATGATGCCTCCCTCCCGGGAAAATCTACCCCCGAGCCTCCACCCCCGGAAATCTCCAATAAACCACCACCCCCCGGGGTATCTGCTGCCGGGGAAGCCATGTTGGGGGTTTGGCTTCTGATAGTTGCAGGAAGCAAAAAATTTTACTACAAGAGCGGCACTACGGGGAAGCGACCATACTGAAATTTAAAGAGAAAAAAATTTGATACACTTATGGATAACGACGGATACTGATGATGAAATGCGAGATCTGACGATGATACTGATGAGACACGATGATGATACTGACGATGAACTGATGATGACACTGATGATGAACTGATATACTGACCACCGGTTTGACCTCAAAACCCCCGGGGGGTCACGCTAAGCAGCACAAATTTAACTTAAAAAAAGGGGGAAAAAAGTCAATTTTTACTTTATAACATACGAACAAAAGCTCCATATTATATCACTTACATTAAGTTTGATGTAATATTTACAAAAACACTTGTTTTTTTTTTTTATGAGAAATTTTCTTTTTCATTTTTTGGTCTACTGGTCAGAGATGTATTTGGGAAATTAATGACGGGGATAGACCTCTAAATTGACTCTCACAAATGTTTAGCTTTAAAAAACATAAATGAATAACAAATAAACATTAAAATTTTTATTTACTAACTGCACACTTAGTCTTAATTATGATAAAAAAATATGAGAAGATCAAAATTAAAAAATAACTGAAATTTTGGCTGTATTATCATTAGTTAAATTATAACCATTGATAAACTAATAAGGCCTAAAAAATATTTTTTATAGTTATTTTTTAAAGGGTAATAAAATACAACAAAACAATAAAATTCATCTTGAATTTATCTCAAAATTTAACCTGAAACTATCTATTTTTCATTGAAATACTGTTTGCTTTATGAGTCATTTGTGTAAATTTGCTCCTTTTCCTTGGTAAAGAATGTTTTTTACACCAAATTTCAATCCCTTTTCTAAAATATTGTTTTTCCCTGTTGATAATTGGGAAGTATTATTACAAATTTTTTCTGATGAAAGGGGAACTAAACTTAAAAACAAAGTGTTTAGATCGTGCAAAAACGACGCACTGCAATGCGTAAGAAAATGAACGTTGAAGCGGGTTTTAAATGCTTTCAATTGTTCATTAAGTGGGTGTTCACCAAAATGAACAAATATAAGCAAAGTACAGAAATAATAATCCCCAAAGCTGGGGGACTTTTACCTCAAAATCCCTTTTCAAAAATTTTATAATAAAATTTACAACATTTATTTCCCTACAATTACAGTAGTCAATTTAAAAATTTATTTTTTGTACTTTACTTTAACAAAAGAAAAACTAAGCTTAATACAAAACTTCAAAATCATAAAAAAAATTTCTATACGGGAAGGTAACGTCTGGCAGGGGTTAGACACTGCGGGGTAAGACATTGGAAACAGCACGCTTTTTATCCTTGTTGAGGAACATAAAAGGGGAAAAGTGGTGTGGCTCCAACCTGATGAGTTGGGCACTGATGGCGGGAGGGGATGACCCAAGACGGGGCAGCAACACCACCGCTTAGTAATATGGTTAGGGACCCTGGACCCCACCCATCCTAAACATTGCCAACACTGCACACTCAAACTCAATCAATTATTTGGGTTTCAACCCCATCGACGATGGCTTCTCTAGTTCATGAAATATATTCATACAATTAAAAAAAAATATTTCATTTCTATTTTAGACCCTCAATAATCAAAGCAAAAGGGAGATTGTAAAAGGGAAAATTTTTTAAGCAAGGAAAAATGTTCGTACCCAAAAATTTTTCCCAGCTCCCTGTGTTGAGTTACTCAACGTGTTTCCCAAACCAGCAAACTTTTGACTTATTTTGGGGTTACCACCCCTCCCGGGGAAAAGCACTAACACACACACACACACACATAATAGGGGCTGGCTGTCTTCTAATGTTTAATTTTCATTTTTCTTGCTATTATTTTGGTATGCGGGGGGGCACTTCCTACCTCCACCTCCTCCTAAATCCAGGAAAGGCTTAAAAAAACTTTTCCTCCTTTCCGAAAAAAAAATTGCAAGTTCATGTACTTTGAGGGG